GTTATTATAATGGAAGGAATTATGGAAATGATGAACTTCTCACCACTTCTTTGGCCTATAAAATGCTTGGTATAGCCCCCGATTGCTCATCTGCATAACTCAAGGCTGCCTTTCGAGCCAAAGTAATTCTTCTGTTCTGTTTTAATTTGCTCATTTGACCACCTTATCATATTTAAACATTTTATTAGGATTAATTTTCAATTTAGGATCGTACGAGTTCTAATCGATCTATGCGTAGAAGCTGAATTTACTGTTGATTCTAGGGTCGGAAGAGAATTTACCTGTTTGAGCTTTTAGAATAATCCAATGATCAGTTAAGCTTTATGGCTTTTCCATTTTACTAGCCAAAGTCAATTCATAATTGTTTTCTGGTGTGGACTTTTATCCTTTTGACAATTCTACTTCGCTTTTTATGCTAACTCACTTTTGTTTTCAATTATTTTAGATCACTTTTTTTAAATTTTTGTCACTTTTTTGAATTTGCGTCCTTTTTTTTTTTTTGCCATTTTTTTGAGTCTTTGTCACCTTTTTTATTCCACTTTTTTTAATTTTGTGACTTTTTTGAATTCGTCACTTTTTTAAAATTTCTGTCATTTTTTAGAATTTTTGTCCTGTCACTTTTTCTCAGTAACATTCTTGATTTCTATCACTTTTTTAGTGACAAACATCAATTTTTAATAAAAGTTACATTGTATATTATTTTTTAATAAAAATGTGATACTTATCTTTAAAACTAACATTGTGTCAATTTTTTTTATTAAAAAGCCAAAAATTTTATAAAAAAAGTGACATTGTGTCATTTTTTAACATTTTACACTATTTTTTACTTTCAAAAAATTTTTCATATTATTTTTCAAAAATCCTTAATTTTTAGGTTATTTTTGAAAGTTGACCTAAAATTAAGGGTCTTTTGAAAAAGTGGAAATTACACAATACCCTAGAGTTAAAATCCTGATTTCTTTAAATAGGTGGGTAGTTTCACTTTACAAAAATCAGAAATATCAGATATCATATCTAAATAGTAAAAATTAAATACATAATTTTCATCCCAATTCCCAACCCTGGAACCATCTTCTCTCTTTCGCTTCATCTTTCCTCTCTCATATCACTCTCCACAGACAGCTCCATCGCCCCACCGTCAACGTCATTTGTAGCGGTCCAACCTCGTCACGGTGTTAAGCAGAGAGTGGTGCTGCGAGGTTAGGTTGCAGCAGCTATGGTGAATCTAGCGACGCAGCAATGTAAGGCGTCGACAACGTCATCTCGATTTTGTTGGGAGTTATTTTTATTGGATCTACTTGTGGTGTAGGCAGTGTGTGGTGGCTGTTGTGGCGGGTGGTGTGCGTGGGTGTGGTGTGTCTGCGATCGCGATGGCGGTGGCGTGATGTGCGGTGGTTGATTTTTTTTTATTTTTTTTTGTTGGATGCGGTGCAGGCGGTGGCGGCGTGGTGGATAGTGATGATGGTTTTGGATCTATTTTGCGGTGGTGTCGCCAAGATCTGGGTCTGCTGTAGTGGCGAAATAGGTGGGGATCTGGGAGATGAAATCTGATTGGGTTGTTGCGGCGGGGCATGGTTATGTGGCTTGATAATTGTGATTGCGACCTCTGATTGTGACTCACAACCGATTGAGTTGTGATCGAAAAGTTAATCATGATCAATTAATTTAATAATTTGCAATAAGTAAATGAATTGTGACCAATAAAAGTTTTGAATATGTGATCGATAAATAATCTGTGACCTGTAAAATTTTTGGATTCGTGACCAAAAACTATTATGTAACCTATAAAATTTTCGATCTGTGACCGAATAAATAAGTTACGACCAATAATTTGATAAGATGTGACTAAAAACTAATTTGTGACTAATTAATTAGATAACTGTGAAAAAAATTCATGATCGAAAAATATTCTATGACCTATAAAATTTTCGATCTGTGACTGAGAAAAAGTTACGACCAATAATTTGATAAGTTGTGACTAAAAATTAATCTGTGGCTAATTAATTAGATAACTGTGACCTAAATATATTAAATTAATTAAATAATTAAATCATAAATAAATTTTAATAAAAATCTAATTTTTAAATTTTGAAACTTGTTTTCTTAATTTTGAAATCGACCATACTGAATCTCTCACTTACGAAATTTTACCCTTTGAAAAATTAAAAAATATTGTATAAAATTATTTGCCACTAACACAACATCATTTTTATCGGTGTCACTTTTTAAAGTTAAGTGTTACTCTTTTATTAAAAAATGATATACAATATCCCTTTTTTGTGAAAAACACTAAAAGAGTGATAATACATTTCAAAAAAAAAAAAAAGTAACAAACACTCAAAAATTGACGAAAAAAAAATCAAAAAAGTGATAAAACACCAATTAAAACATTAGAATCAATTCAATAAAATGACCAAGTACATATTAATTAGCTCACGTTGTTGGATAGCGTTTCCAATCTAAGATGTTAATCTAGAAGTGATTATAATTCCAAGACATTGAATGTAGGGGGATAGAAAAGGCTTAGAAGAGAGTAGACGTGCAGTTCGGGCGTATACTAACTTTTGTCATAGTGCCTGTAAAATCTTGCGTCTTTCCTCTTGCAAGCAGCTGGATCACTCGAATACTTTCTAGCTACAAAATCACACCAGATAGAAGCTACTTGCAACTTGCAAGATTTGACTTTTACAGGTAAACAAAATCATAGTGTTCATAATACAGCAAATTCATGTCAAAAAAAGTGAAATAAAAAAAATTCAGATCACAATGATCCTCACCCCCCCAAATCCCGTCGCTGTCGCTTCTCCACGCTGCCGACACACAACACCGTCCTTTCCTTTCTCCGTCACCACCACCACCACTACTAGCAGACCCACGTTTTAGCACAAATCCAAGCCATTTACTACTACATCTCCACTTATATCCATTGTTCGGTGAGACAATCGAGGAAAGCTAAGATGTTATCCAAAGAGACAGCATTCATTGAGCCTCGAAAAGCAAGCAGTCTACCATTTTTGATTGAAGGAGTTATTAGTAAGCACCGTGAAAAAGCAAGAACCAGAGATTAGGCTCAACCACAATTTCTCCAATAATTTTTCCTAGCTCATTTACTCGAAACTTCAACTTTCGTTGGCCTTCTATTTGGTTGGGATTGAATTGCATTTATTTTTCTCCGTAAATTATACTATTAATGATAATTAAAAAGGTGAAAGGGTATTAATCAAATTTCTAATTAATGGACTGTACTGGGCCTATTTATCCCTTTTATATTTATCTTGGGCCATAGCAAAAGATGTCTTGAGGAATTAAGCCAAATTTTCAACCATGTCAAAAAGATGAAATTTCTCGCATTCTCAAACTATTATTAAAAAGCATGGCTATATTGTCACCACGATTTTTGTAATCGCTACTTTTTAGCACGAAATATTGTTCATCTAGGGGAGTTCTAGGAACCAATTTTAATTTGATTTATTCAAAATCCTCGAGGTTCCCTCTAACGATTTTTTATTTTTTTTTCTCTCTGTCTAGAACAATTATTGAAGTTGCAAATATCAAGATATCTCTTGGTTTTCATGATAACATTTTCATCTCTAAATTTGAGACAGACTTGCAACAAGGATGAGATCTCACGTGGGTGAAAAGACCTGGCATAGTAACAAAACAAGAAAGGCAGATTGGTGGAAGGTGAAGATGGGAATCTTCGTCTCCAGTTTGCTATTGTGGGATCAATTCAAGGTTATAATCGTGAAGTAGCTTGAAGATCAAGATTAAAGGTTTTGATTCCATTCCATAATTAGATGTAAACTTTACACAAAGAAAGCACATATTACATTGCATACAAAATTATAGATTTTTATCCTTTGTAAGTTAATGCAAAGATCCAATTCGCTCGAACTGAAATGGCTTCTGACTTAAACAAGGTTTCACCATAGGGACCCGCAGTCTTCAGAGTTTTTAGCCTGTGTAACACAGTCACACCATCTCATTAACATTGCAGTTGTTGCTGAACAAGATACCATCACTTTATTAGCAAAACTGAAGTATCTTTTGAAGCCAATAATTCCAAGAAAATATATGCGGCAATCTCCATTAGCAAAAGTACATTTCTTTTGTATAAAGACTGCGAGAAAATGGCCATGTTGTACCTTCTGATTGGTTTATGCTAAAGAGTTGTACGTAATCACATCACACTTTGCCAAAATTGAGATAATTCCTTTATTCTAATCCTTCTCCCAAAGCACACAAAAGTATGCTTGGAGAGGTCCACACTCACCAATTGGAGAGAGCATCTAACTTCACCAACTATTTAGTCCTCATTTGATAGAGGTAGAAATCAAATTTTTATTAAATTTTACTAAAAGTTGATGAAATGTTAAAATCCTATAAAATATGTAGATAAATTTTTTTATTGACTTAAATTTTAATTAATTTATTAATTGAACCAAACAGGAGTTTAATAAATTCCACCTACTATTATATATTTCACATCATTGAAAGACACCACTCAATAAATGAATTTAATTCGTCTTTACAGGAAAGGCACAACTCAATATAAATTGTAAGGTTGGACCTTCAATGAATCTGCTTGTATAGAAGTGCAACTGCCAGAATTTCACCAGAAGCAGATGCGGTAACATTTGGTTGGTCTGCTGTTTTTTCTTTGCCATGTCTAATAGAAATGTGCCATGTGTATTCTGGTGAAATTTTTATATAATTTTTCTATACAAGCAGCAGAACTGTTAATGAATTGTCTCTAGAAGAGATAATTAAACTTTAAATTTTATTTGTAATTGCAAAATCACGTCTTTAAAATTGCCATTTGACCCTCATGGTCTAAACGTTTGAGCTGTTAATCTAAATCGTAAGGTAAAATCTAACTTCATAAAATAGGATATATAAAGGTCACCTAACAATTTGAACGATATATGTAGTGGGAAATCAATTTACAATTATAATTAAAAATCGAGGATCGTGTTACTACTCTAACAATATATTGTGGATTAAAAAATAAAACTTTCCCTATTTTTACATTTCTGAAAAAATGTAAAAATAAGTAAATAGATAAATATTTGTTCAACAAAATTTGTACAAAGTATTAACAAAGAACTGCCTTCAGTAGACAACAACACGAGAATCTTTACAAATCCAACCACTTCCTCAAAATCTAGATTATTACACAAGCCACTCACGGCGGCCCACCATCACCCTGGACAGCAAAAATGACATTTAAGCCCGACTGTTAAACTCGTTTCATATTTTATTTTATTTTTCTCATGCCACGTCATCATAATCGTCCAAAAAATTTGTCCTTATTCGTCCTTTCACTGCAACTCACCTCTCAATTATTCATTACTCATCCAAGGGCTATGATCACCTGTAATGCATTCAACTATCCGAAAACAAGTATTCATGCCGGAACAAATCGTACGGCGCCCAAAGATTATCCAAAGTGCAAGCCCTCTTAGCATCCAATCTTAACCATGGCTTCCCTTTTCCACTCCAGTGGAGTAAACTCACCGGACCCGGATGCAGATCCCGGCACAAACCTTCAAGATTATCGCCGCCGAGTCCGTGTTGATTCCACCGGTGCTCTACTCCTTCAACATTACCGGCGAAAACTAGTAAAAATGGAGGCAGTGAACCCAATTCGTAGATTCTGTACCTCTTTTGGATTCTCATCCAGTACTCGAGTTTTTCTGTGTACCCATGATTTCTCCATTTTGTCAAATCAATTACCATCACGCCAGTGTTGAAATAACATGGTTTACGGCCTTTGAATACGGTGGAAAATGCTGGGTTTGTCCAGAATCTTGAAGAGAAGTAATGACTGAAATTAGCATGGCAGTATTCGGGGGCACCTAGGGAGTGAGAGTTAAGGTTGATTCGCCATAGTTTTGCTATATCGTCGATGACTATGAGGTCGGAGTCAAGGTAAATAATGCGGGTGACGGCGGGGGGGAGGAGGTCAGCTAGGTAGATGCGGGCGTAATTGAGGGGCTGATCGAGGGCACGGCGAATGGAGAATGAGATGAGGTGGTTGACTGTGGTGGGGTTGAAGGGGTAGAGGTGGAAGTTGAGGTAAGGGAATGTAGCAGTGATAGTGCGGCGGAGGGGTTGGTGGTGGCGCTGTGTAGCAAGGAAGTGGAAGACAGTGTTTTCAGGGCAGGTGGAATGCTGTAGCACCGACAAAACGCCGGCGATTGAGCCACGGAGGTAGGGGGAAGAGTAGTCGAGGGTCATGGCTATTTGAATGGTGTCGTTGTCATGAACGCTGTCGGTGGTTGACCATTGGGATTTTGCGCATTCTTTGCCGTTTCGGAATGCAGGGGCTTCCCGGAACTGTGGGGTTTTAGTGGCGGAATTTGGCACAACGAGGAGGAGGAGAGTGATTCCGGCGGTGGCGAGGAGCATAAGGTTAGGTGGCATGGTGGCGGGTTTTGGGCGAAAGGATTTACTAGTCCTTTCTTTGCGCAGTATGGTGTGGTCTCATTCTCATATGAAATATGACAGAATTATAGAAATTGCGCCATGTTAACTCGGTGTAAAATGACATTCGAGCCCCACTAGATACCAAATTTCGTACCATTACTTTCAAAAAGTATGAAATAGTTCATATTTATTGTTAGAAATGATTTTCGGACGATCGCTCTAGATACTTTTTTTTATCAAGGTATTAGCCTTTGGTGATTATTCTTTGGGTCTGTGATCCGATCCCTCTTCACACAGATCAGTTAAACCGTGGGATGTGTCTCCAACTGATCAGGGTCCGAGCACCTCTCCAACTGGATTGCCAAAGTGCTTAGTGAGTCAATCCATGTTGCGTCTTGCCTTCCTAGACACTCCTGCCTTACAGGATAAATCTTGTCTTCCAGTATATGCTTTGCCTTCCAAGAGCCCCAAGAATCGAACTCACGACCTCTGATCTGTCAGGTTTGAGAAAACCCATCATTCGCTAGTGGAAAAGTGTCCCGGGAGGCGACTGTTCTAGATACTTCATTATACTTATGTAATATTGTTTATAAATCATGAGTTCACATTTGTTGATTTTGTCCGTAATTCTAATTTTAATTAGAATTGACTTTAATGCGTTGATTCTATAATTCATTCAAATTATAGGAAGTTTAGCCCCAGTTTTTTTAAACGAAAATTGGCGGAATATTACTTTTTTTGAAAAAATGAGTAGTTGAAAAAAAAAAAAAAAGTTTTCGATTTATGTTTAACATGATTTTGTAGAAAATTGTGTGATTGAAAATAAAAAAATAAAAAATGAAATAAAATTTAATGAGGGCCAAACGAGGGCTTAATTAAAATTGACTTTGGCACAACAATTATAGATACGCATATTTTTTTATGGTTGATTAGCACAAAACGTCTCCATCTTTTAATGTTTTTATGTAAAACGTTCATACTTTTCATTTTTAACAATTTTACCCTCACTTTCACCGTTTATTGCGAAAAAAGGTTCTTTAATCTACCCACTGTCAAATGCTCCGTTAACTCAACCAAAAAAATTAATTAACACAAAATGTTCATAACTTTCAATGTTTTTTGTGAAAAAAACGTCCCTACCTTTTGTTTTATAAAGGTATGGATGTTTTATATGACTTAGTTTTAAAGGTAAAGATGTGTTTCGCAAGGTATATTAAAAAATAGGGTTGTTACACGTAAAATGTATTAATAGATAGGGATGATTTTCACAAATTCAATTTCATGCTAAAACGAAAAGAGCATGTCCAGTTCATCTTTACCATTCATATGTGATGGGTCATTCGCCATTGAAATTTAGTGTGCTATTTACATAATCACATTTGTTATTGTTTTTACCCTTATTTACACCCTAATAAGCACAAATGAGGATGTAAGTCTCCTATTTATCGACCACATATTCAATTTCTTCATCTACCGTTCCAAATTTTATAAGTATTCCAGTATTACGATAACCATTGTTTTTCTCAAGGTGAAATACAACGTTCTTTATGTCATTTTCTTATTTATTTAATGGAATGATTATATAAATTATTTTTATATTACTTTTAATTTTGAACAGTTAACTTTGAAGGCGAAAGGAAGGCTAGTGAAAAAATTAGGCAAGACAATATTACCCTTGATTTTTGAAAAGAAATGTTGCATTTTTTATTGAGTCAACAGAGTATTCGATAGTGGGTGGATGTAATGACTTTTTTGGCAATAAAAAGTACAAGTGAGGGTGAAATTATCAAAAAAGAAAGGTAATGACATTTTGCACAAAAACATTGAAATGTTGGAACGTTTTGTGCTAATTAGCGTCTTTTTTACAATCTAATAACGTTAAGATCTTTTTAACTTTTGATTCAAGAGATTACGTATTACAAAATATTTTTTAAGAAAAAAAGTTCCACACTTGTATTGTTGCTATTACATGTGTAGTCAAAACTATTTATAATATTTTTCTTTGTGGGCTTATTTATGATGACACAATTTACATGTTCAATATTCAAGAAACTGATGAGTAATATTTTCAAATATTTTGTTAATCATTTATGTCAAATATTTTTCTGTTAATTACTAAGGCCCTATTTGAACCCATTCTTTTCAAAATTTAATGATTGGAATAGTGTTTTTTTAAAAATGTGGTTGAAAAAGATTCATTTTTTTTATTTGTATATAATATTATCTTATGAAAGATTGTGTGGTTAAAAATAAGAGGAAAAAAAAGAATGAGAAAAATAATGGGGGCCAAACGGATCTAATATTCCTCTGGGGTAGTTTTGGTATTACGATCTGTTTAGAATGGGCCAAGATCTTTCAGTTGAATAAGGTGAAGCCATGCTGCAAAGCCACGTCCTTAGCCTGTGATTTCTTTACTAATTATGCTAAACGAACAGATTAACGATACTTGGCCAAGATCATTGGCAATGATGGAGGCGACAGAGTGGTGTGATAGACAATGATTGAATGTTGTATTGTTTTTTCAAACTGTTCAATCATGCATCGATACGTGATTCCTTTATCACTGAACCCATCAATAAGCATGTAACTATAATAAGATTGAAACGAATGGGGCCATGTAGCCAACTCCCCCACCTATTACAGGGGCCAATTGTCATTAATATGGTTATGTGGCCTTGTTAATTGAGTAGCTCTCTTTCTTTATCGACGAGAATAAATCTTGTGATATTGGTTACACGAACAGTTTGTGCAACTGTATGTTGTTGATCGTAGACATCTAATCAGTTGTCAATATTCATCTAAATTACTATAATTGACGGCCCAAATATTTTAGTACAACTAACGGCAGTTTAATTAACGTAAGCTTCATAATTAAGAAAATTCAAAAGTACGACGATGTTATGATATGGAAAAGATAAAAGGTTGGATTGAGCAATTTTTCATCTCAAATCCCAATACCCAAGATTGCGATTGGGAATGCATAAATACTACTCGATAATTTATTTATAATTGTGCTACAAAATCAGAGTCAATAATAGATTTATTGTTTTTATTTTTTTAGACAACTCTTGACAATTTTTTATTGAAAATTGATAGGAAAAAAAAATAAGAAAAAGATAAAATACTCAATCATGGGCTACCAAATCACCCTACCACCGCACCCTTTTTTTCTTGTCCAAGCAGCATTTTTTTCTTTAAGGTTCATTTAGCATGATTTTTAATTTTACTTTCTGTGAAATGCTTTTTTCAATAAATTATTTTAATTTTTGTTAGGTTTAATATTTCAAAAGGGCTTTTATGCTAAGTCATATTGAACCAACTTTCTCCAAAATTTTGAGTATCAAAAACTCATTTAACTTTTAAAAAGTCATGTCAAACTGACACTTATTGTTTTTGTCAACAATTAATGTAAAAAAATTATATTCATTGCATCTAGTTATTGATGCAAGTATCTACTTCAAAATTATGAAAATATAAAGTCACCAAGAATTTTGTATGACATAGTTGAAATATACTCATTATAATGTACATATTCATATTCATTGAATATACTGCTTAAAGATGTATATATTTTAATTTACACAAACGTAGTATTCATGATATGAGATTTTTTACCCTAAAAAATCAAAATTTTAACAATTATTTCACTATTCCTGTCGTCATTTTTTATTTCTTCATTTACAGGTAAAACCCATTTTTTTATCTAACGGTCAAAAAATCAATTTTCACAATCACTACCGAACATGTCCTTAACTTCAGGCCCGGTCCTGGGGCTAGGCAAATGAGGCCTATGCCTCAGGGCCATTATCTAAGGGGGCCTCACTTTGGGCCTAGAATTTTATTTTATTTTTTATTTTTTGGTTCTCTCTCTCTCTCTCTCTCTCTCTCTCTCTCTTTTTCTTTTATAGTTGAACTTGAACCAGACCCAATAATGCAGCCCACAACTTCAAACCCAAATCCAATCCATTGCCCTTAGCCTTAGCCCAATTACCCAACTATATATATATATATATCCTTTATCCATTGCATTTACGTTGATTTCGAGAGGAGGACCCAATTTTAGGCTTTGTCTCGAGTCCCGACAATCAAAGGATCGGCCATGCTTAACGTAAACATGACCGTACACTTAGACATCAATATCATGTTGGGTGAGAGAGTGAGTGTCGATCCTCAGGGATTTGGTTTGATTGGGAATTTCATCAAACTATGAACAGGTCAATTGTGGTGCTACTTAATTTTACTATTTTAGTATTTACTATTCTTATTAATACAAAAGTTTGGAAGGTACGAAGTTTGTAAGGTTTGGACACGTAATGTGGGATAAAGTTTGGGACCATTGGTGCCAAAAATTTAGCCTGTGTTTGGTATCCATTTTCTCCACATATTTCAGAAAATTTTTGCCGGTTGAAACAGTAAGTGGGCTGATGCACAACCTTTTTTTGACTCAACAGCATGAAAATGTCCTAAAATGCCCCTCCTTAGCTTTGAAATAAATGCGAATAAGGGAAAAAATGTAATTCCGTTTCTGATGAACATTAAATGCGGCTGCATTTTTACTGTGTAACGGTTAAGATTCTTCTACAAATGAGAATGAAAATGGCAACCAACGTAGGCTTAAATTATGTAGTTATCTCAATGAAAACCAACTACTCCAGTTCTAATATATTCTATATAAAGGTCTCGTTTGGTACACATAAATGTAAAAATGAAAATGAAAAATATGGTTGTTATGAGCTCCACACAAAAGATAGAAATTCAAATTTGATGGCTTCATGTGATGAATAACAGTCATATTTTTTATTTTAATAAAGAAAAAATGAGAAACAAACGGGAGCAAAATTAGTTATAAAGAATCGAGAAATTAGAACTTCTCAGTATATTTCAAGCGTTTCCAACAACATTATAAGTTTTGTTTTCAGTTATGAGATTATAAATAGTAATTTTTATTTAATTATAATATTAATGCATTTTCAATTTTTTTAAAATTGAAAACAGAACTGAACCTAATTCTCGCTATTAATAAAGCAAAACAGATTGTCCTTCAAAATAAGTAAATTCGTTCCTGAAAACGTAAATAATAGAAAGGAAAGAGAACTCTCATGTTATGGGCCTATACCATAATACTGGAAAGGCCACTATTGGAACTTCGGTTCAAGAAAAGCTTTATAAACATTTATATATATTTTTTTCGTATTTTTCAAAGTCACATAAGTACTGTTGGGAAAAACATAGTTTATGTGTTGAATGATTTTGGTTAAATGACAAAGTGTTTGATAAATTTGTTCAATACCTTCTTTTAAAATTGAGCTGAATTTCAGAGTCGGGTTCTCTTGGTTTATGTGTTGAATGATCTTGGTTAAATGATGAAGTGTTTGATAGATTTGTATACGAAATTAATTCACATAATTGTCAAGAACTTTTTGTCTTGGTGAGTTCAAGTGCATG